AAAGCCCGGCGGCGCTCTGAAGAATTCGGCGGGAGAAAACATCCACTGCCACACGGATCGCGCCCCTCAGAGAGCCCCCCGACGGCCCCGGACACGGGCTCGACCGAGAGCCCCCCGCCCACGCCAGCACGTCCCCCAAAGGGATCGCCCCCAGGGACAAGGTTCAAACGGCGGCGCGGCCGTCACTCGGATCGCGCCCAACAAGAAACTGCATTTGCGGCACAGGAGGGACGCTTCGTAGCGTCGCCCGGATTACTTCGGCACACCTCTCACGCGGATCGCGGCCCGCAGGGAGTTCCACTGACAGTCCTAATGGCGAGGTTCGCACGCCGCCCTGTTCTTGAGAAGCGATCCTCAATCGACACGATGTCGACGTCGGCACTGACCAGATGCCGCTGCTGTTCGGTTTCCCCGCCAGATAGTCGTCGCACATCGCTGTCTTCTTGAGCTCGTCTACTATCCAAGCCAGTAGAGGTTAATCTCGCTCTCGACCGAGTCTTCCCAGGATTTGCCGTCTGACCCGCCGTGTACCACAGCGCGCATTCTGGAGAATCAAAATGAACCGCTCTCGCATCCCCCCTCCAAAACGCGCAGCGAGTCTCTAATGTTCAAGACGTCGAAGACCCCGCCCATCTCGGAGATTTGTCGGCAAAGCCACCGCCAAGTTAGATCTGCACGCCCACGACAATCGCAAGCCCGATAATGCACCGCCCCCGATTAAATTCTGGCAAAACAACTCCTCGGACGTCGCTTTTCAGACCGCGCCCCGGGAACTTCTCGAGGTTATCGGGGATAGCCACAGTCACTGGCACCTGAGGCCCAACGTAAAATCAACTGGGCACGCCGACACCATCTTGGCCACGCTTCTCTTGATCGCACTTGTCCCAGTCGGGCGGCCCACGATATCCACTGCGCTTGCTACATGTAGAGCTGGCCCACGTCTTGGACCAGAGCAGCCCCTGCGTCGTCTGGCACTTTTGCCGGGGCCCTTGATTGGCCGGAGGGGGTCTTCGAGGGGCCGCTGGAGGTGGTCGAAGACAGTAACGGTTGCAAGACTACAGAGGTTGTCCTCGACATCGTCGACGCTCGCTGCAGCCCACAACGGCCGTCCGTGACCAGCTTGTTCGGGGTCACTATTTCTTCTCGCAGCTGTTCTATCACCCTAGTAGCGCGCGCAATTCCGTCGGCACCTCGTCGAACAAGTCGCTGGTTTCTTGAATACTCGCACTGGGCAGTGTTTGCAGCGGTGGAAATTTCTGCAAGCAACCCATTCTCGTCGGCGCGAATTGCCGCCAGTCGCCGCTCCTTGTCAGGCCCGCGCGCGCCGTGCATCTCCTCGCAGCGCGACGCGCAAAACCCCAAGTACTTTGTCTAACCTCCGCGCAGGTAGCCCCGAACAACGTCTTCGGTCGCGGCCGTTCCGGATCGGGGCCGCGCGCCAGTTTGAGCCCGCGCGCAGCAGCCCGAACACTGGCCCCCGCCGACGCACGCCGCGCCCGCTGCACTCGCGCAAAGCGCCCGCGCCCGCGACGCCATAGGCTGCTCTGGGGTCAATCAAGCGCACGCGTCGCTTCTGCCCTCGCACCGCGTAGAACGCGCCTTCTGCCACCCTCGCCGGGGGCGCGGGCCGCGCGCGGAAGTCCCCCCGGGGGAACTCCCGCCTGCAGTCGACGCCGCCGCCGGGCGCGAAACCGCCTCCCAGGTGGTCCGAGCCCGCGTCTCTGGAGGGCCCTGATACCAACGAAAGATTCTCATCGCCGCGCGGAGTTCGAGGGCGCCCTTTGAACATCCGTCGCCACCTCAGTCGTCGGACTCGCCCTCGGAGTCGGCGGGGGGGCCCGCCCCAGCAACTGCTATCCACGAGCCCGAAGATGCATATAGACTGGGGCGATTCTCGCATCATCACACCACGCCAAAAGATCCTGCGACGCCAGAGCCCGCGAAGCCCAGGCCCACGCCGACGTCGCGCCCGGATTCCTCGGCGAGGCGAAGCTGCCGCTCCTTATAGCGCTGGCGCGGCCATAGTTGCCGCCACCCCAGTCCTCGCACTGTTCGCATCCATTGCCGACACGTTCGTCTTCGCAGCGCTGCGCGTCTTCTCCTGTTCTTTGGCCGTCGCATGACTAGCGAGGTCCCCACCCGCATCCGCCGCCGCCCTTCTTGTTAGCGCCATTGTCATCGGGGATATCATGGCCCGGGTGAATCCAGACCCGGGCCAGCCAAGCCAAGCAGAATCCTGCAAAATCCTGCAAGATCCTGCACCCAAACCCGGGTCAACGCGAAGGACCCTGCAAGATCCTTCAGGATCCTGCGCCCAAACCCGGGCCAATGCGACCCTGGCCCTGCAGGATCCTGCAAGATCGGGCGCTCTGGCTGACCCCCGTCTGCACTGACCCCCGTCTCTTGAGCCTCGATGTTATTGCATCCTCCTTGCCGGGTGGTGACCCCGCATCGCCTTCGCCGTCGCCCTCGCCGTCGCCTTCCTCGTCGCCCTTCCGGCGGTCACCCTTGGCCGGACAGCATGGAGCGCCGCGCCACTTTGAGCGGCGATTGGATCATCCTCGCGAACCGCCCTGAGATCGCCCGTATCATTGCCGCCCTTCCCGGCACCGTCGTCGCGCTCGCGCCCGCGCCCGCGGCCTGCGGGCTGCCGCCGCACATGGGCAAAATATTCCAACCCTCTCACACACGCACACACACACACATGAGGGGGATGTTCCTCGACCCCACCCCCGAAATCAATATTGGCATTAGCGTGGGCGATGCTTTGGAGTTCGAATGCTTCTGCCCATCCAAGCCCTCTCCAGCGCAGAGCCCTCAAGATCCATCTGGGGGGTCCGAGGGGGGGAACTTGCGCCGCGGGGTTCGAACTTCATCGTCCATGCACGGCCCCACGACTGGCTGCCCCATCCTGAGTTCCTTTAAGAATATTGCCAATATGTTCTCTGTCGCCCTAATGTGTTGCGTAGTCGCCCAACCTTCGCCCCAGTCGTCGTCGTCGCGCCCGGATTCGCCACTCCAGAAGCCACCAAAAACTCACTGATAACTCATTGCTTGATCCGCCTCGGTCGCTCTGATCTGATCTCGCCGCAGCAACTGAGGTCCCCATCCACTCTCAACATAATATAAACAATCTTTCGCCGGGCAATTTACACCCAGAAAGCAAAAACAAAACCTTCCGATTAGTTGATACCTAGGCCCGCTGTCTCTGACGCCTCGTCGAAGACCATCTCGAATACTGCTATGTACTGTGCCAAGCCCCGCTGCCTTCGTCAAAACGCGAACGACTGGTTGAGACGGATGGTGTCGGTGTCCTGCTCACGTAGGCCGCGCCCTTGTCCAAGTCCTCTCGTGAACTGTGATAATCGGCTCGGTTGCGCCTCGATGTTCCAGGCCGGCTGCGCCGCGATCGCTGGGAGCGCGAACGCATTCTCGCTGACGTAGTTGGGGCCCTCTCGTTCGACTGAGAAACGGACGGAGACCATGCTTCCCGGCGCCTCTATTGAGCCTGATGATACGAATCTAACCGCCACCAACTCGTCAGGCTCAATTTTTGGTACGCCACCACATCGAGATGCTCTAGAAATACTTTCGCACTGAGCAGCGCTGCGGTCATGGTTCCCAGCCTGGTGGTGTATTCATCGTAACTTCCTCCAGAACCAGCGTACCGCACCATGGAGGCGTCACATTGTAATTGATTTGGCGAATGTTATCGCCTTCTTGACCGTGCGTGTTGATCTGCTGACCACCAGTGAGGTAAGGGGAGCACCGACGATTAAGCTGCTCGATCGGCTATAGAGTTTCAAAGCAAGGAGGAGCAGATGATGGTGTTGAATGAAGCCTCTGGGTCCGCGTGCTGGCCCCCTAGGCCGACGTCCTGGTGATTGAATATGTCCAAGGGCGTGCTGTAGCTAAACACGTAGTTCTCGATCAGATTCGAGACAATGCAGATGTCCACGATCTGCTTGGTAAGCTCGGTAGCGGATGCCTCGCCAGCGTGACATCGCTTACGGCGCGGCGCGGCGCGCGGGTGCTGGACGCTCCGCTACCAGAGCAGGAGATCATATGTATCTTGAGCTGGGTTTGAAAAGACGGTCGAACATCTATCCTGTCGTCTCTTCTACAAAAGCTTCCAGGATCGGGGGCTCTAGACCAGAATCTTCGCTCCTATCGAGAGGGAACTTGGAGGGAGAACTTATTCCAACATCGTTGATGACCCTTGGGTTTACACTGGTCCTCCTCCTCCTCCCCTCCTCCACCCCTCCTCCTCCTCCTCCTCCTCCTCCTCCTCCTCCTCCTCCTCCTCCTCATCATCATCATCATCATCATCATCATCATCATCATCATCATCATCATCATCATCATCATCATCATCATCATCATCATCATCATCATCATCATCATCATCATCATCATCATCATCATCATCATCATCATCATCATCATCATCATCATCATCATCATCATCATCATCATCATCATCATCATCATCATCATCATCATCATCATCATCATCATCATCATCATCATCATCATCATCATCTTCATCTTCATCTTCATCATCATCATCATCATCATCATCATCCAGCTCCGTTTCCTCATCCTCAACATAATCATCATCATCATCATCATCATCATCATCATCACCACCATCGTCATCATCATCACCATCATCATAATCACCATCATCATCACTATTATCAGCACCATCCTATTCAGTAAACCCATCAGCAGCAGCAGCAGCAGCAGCAGAAGCAGAGACAACATCATCATCATCATCATCATCATCATCATCATCATCAGCAGCAGCAGCAGCAGCAGCAACAGCAACAGCAACAGCAGCAGCAGCAGCATCACCATCAGTCATCATCACCATCATTACCACCACCATCACCACCATCACCATCATCACCATCACCCCCGTCCCCCACATCCTCCTCCTCCCTCCCCTGCTCCTCCCTGCTCCTTCCTGGCCGGTGCAAGCAGCTGAGACCGCCCACAAAAATGTGCTTCACCTTGCCGCTGCGAAAATTCTCCCTCGCGCAGGAGCCGGACAGCAGCGCCTCCTGCGGGCCCGTCATCTGGAGGGCGTCCTCAGCGTAGCCCCTCGTCTGCAGCTGCTCGAAGTAGCTCGAGGCGCTCCACTGGTTCTGGCGTGGGAGGCACAGCAGCAGGGCCGAGGGGGATGTCGCAGAGGAGACAGGGGATGATTCGATTCGCGGCGGCTTGCGGATGGCGCACCGTGACGAGCAGTTCGATGAGCAAGCGCGGCGAGAGACAGCGACTGGCTCCTCCTCGCTGCGCGGATTTGGCCCTGGGTCCACCCGGGGCCTAACGCTGCAGCTCAGTGTCGACTCCTCCCGAGTTTCACGAGCGCCAGGTTACGATGGGGAGATGAAAGATAGGGCCACTTCCTGCTTCGGCTCTGACGTGGTCGACGCCAGGCTTCAAAGGGCAAAGTTGGATTAACAGGGAGCACGTATGCGTAGCATGTTTTTCCCCGACGGCCGTCGATGATGGTGCTGCTGTGGCGTAACATTTCCTGTCCCGCATGGTCTCTGCCCTATCCAGTCGTGGTTTCGATCCTCTGCCGCATCATTGAGACGATGAAGGCAGCAGCAGTCTGTTCGGACGCGATGCCCTCGCCCCAACGGTGCAGCGCTAGTGGGCGCGCAAAGCAGGCCATCTGACTCGGGAATCGGCGGGCGGCAGAGTAAGAGGCTTCACGATGCACGCGAAGGCCACGACAGAGCGAGCGAGCGAGACACGCGAGCATGCCTGACGGCGAATCGGCCCTGAACAGGGCATGGGTGTGCAGGGCATGGGTGGGATTGGGAATTCTGAATACTTCCTTGGAATCTGTGAAGCTTGCCACGACAGAGGAGCTGCAAAATATGTACTGGTTGCTGAAATCTGAAGCCTCTGGAGCACTCAGGACGTCCCCAGAGGCCTCCGCGGAGGCCTCCACAGAGACCTCCAGAGGAGCAAACACGCCCCAAAAACTCGACCCGCAAGGAGGAAAGACTCGACTACTCTGTAAGAACGTGTGTTTTGAAGGCAGATCTGCCTTCAAAAAATACGTTCTTGCAGAGTTGAAGGCAAATCTGCCTTCAAAAAAATACGATACGTTCTTGGGGACTCCGAGTCGCACGCTGCTTTAATTACTGATTTCTAAACCTGACGCTCGGCGCTGACGTGCAGCCAGTCACTGCCTCGCTCGAGGCTGGCGAAGCCCCGCATCCGATGCAGGCCTGCGTGCTGACGATGCGTCGAATTACGGCAGGGTCGTGTCGTGAGGACCCTGGCGTTGGTCTTGGCAGCGCGCACAAGGGGGTGGGGGGTGGGGGGAGGGCTTCTTAGAAGGAGGCTGCTCCTTAGAAGGCGCCGGCCTTACATCTATAGATCAGGCCCGCGCCTTCTAAGAAGCAGGGGTGCTTCCAAGCAGCCCTCCCCCCTCCCCCCACCCCCCTCTGCGCGTGGCTGATGGTTTCTCACACCGCGTGGATCGTTCAACTTTGAACGATCGACGGCTCTCTGATCGCCAAGTCGTTCCGCATTGATCGATGATAGTTCGCGGCGGCAGCCCAGAGCACCTGAGCAGCACTGGGCCCGCCCAAGCCGTGGGAGCCCTTCGGCCGCGCGGCGGCGCAGCCGGCAGCGGCAGCGCCGGCCCGTCGAAAATCGGCCGCTGAGCCGGCTGGGAGAGCGCCCGCAGGAAGCTCGCAGCCGTCCTGGCAGGTCTCTGGGAGCCGTCAGGGAGAAGGGAGGGAGGAAACACGACCAGGCGGCCAGGGGAGAGGAGGAGCTCAAACTATGATTACTCGGTCAGGCTGTAACTATGGCATGTCTGGTTTTTCCGACGTCGGTAATTAACTCGATCCTCGCAGCTTGAAACTATTTTTGATGTGGTACAGCAACTGCCGCCACATCGCCAACCTAGACCTGACATAGACCTGACATCGCCAACCCACAACTATCGCATGTGGTCCCTCTTGGGGCCATCTTGGGCCAGTTTGGTCGCCTCTTGGACCGTTTTGCGGCTCTGTTGGGCCGTCTTGGGGCTATCTTGGGGGCAACTTGGGCCGTCTTGGGGCGATGTTGGGGGCCTCTTGGGCCGTCTTGAACACTGCTAAGACCGAAGATGCGAATATGCTGAAAATGCACGTTATCAGAAAGTGAATGGGGCAAAGTTGTCCATCCGGGGCAGTCTTGGGGAGCATATTGGAGCCTTCTTGGGGCGTCTTGGGGGCCTCTTGGAAGCTCTTCGGCTATCTTGGGCCCTATTACGCCGCTGTCGTCGCGTATCCGTGCTCCCCCGAGGGTATTTTGGGCGGCCAGGGCGGCTGGGTGGAGGCCCGGACGGCCCCACGGGGGGGGGCTAAAAGGACGGGGGAGGAAATCCTGGAATCCTGGAGGGTGTCCCGCCTCAGGGCCCGCGCCCCCGGTGCCCCGGCGTGTGATATATGCCCCAGCGTACGTTGCGCAGCGCGTGGCTGCGCACAAGCAGCACATACCTCTGCGCACGCTCCCGCGCACGACCAGGCATCAACGATGCCCCATCGCACACTGCAAGGCTCACGGGTGCGCGTGGGCAAGGCGCCGCGCATGAGCAGGCGCACCTCCGGGCATAAACGTTGCCCAGGCGCGCGTTGCACAGCCCATGGGCGCGCTAGGGCAGCGCGCGCTGCTCGAGCACAGCTGCATCGCCAGGCGTAAACGACGCTCTGGCGCACGCTGCATAGCGCATGGGCTCACAGGGGCAGCGTGCACCACGAGGCTGGCACTGCTGCGCACAGGCAATGCGCAAGCATGCCCCCTACAGGTGGGCCCTGAGCGATGGGGCAACTGCCACTCATAGGACAGCCTCGCGGACGTCTCTGGCCGGAGCAGGCGTGGCAGATGGTGCAAGCGTTGACGCGTGGCCGCGTGCCTAGACCGAAGGACACAGCGAAGCGACAGGCATAAAACATAGTCTTGGGGTTAAGGGCGCGACGAACATCTCAGTACACCTGAGGCCACGCACTCCGCGGATGGCGCGTCCGGACGCCAGAGCGCGCAGCATGCATTGGAGCATGGGTCAGCAGGTCTTGCGGTCAAACGCCCGGCACAGCATTGAGCATTGCTACCTCGCTGAGTGGGCAATGTGCCTGAAGTGATGGCTGACGAGTGGTCTTGACCAAGACTGCACGCACTGTGGCACGTTGGCGGTTGGCGGGGCCACTTCCCTGCTCCTTGGGTAAGGGCTTTGGACAGGGCGTCTGGGCAGCTCGTGGCACGACAGCAATACGTGCCAGCGACTCGAACGCCCCAACGTTGAAAAAAGATAGCCCGTGGAGGCGAGGCCGAACAGCTTCGACACGAAGGGGAAGATGGAAAACAAGACTCTACGAAGCAGACGATAATGAAGTCACCGCTGGAGTCCGCCTCGAGGAAACACCAGACGAAGTACGGCAGCCTGCCGTTGCCGAACAGGTTGGCGTTGAAGGCGGTAAAAAAACGAAGTGGACAACGAACGTGGCTTAGCCGACGCGGTGGCTGCAGTAGGAAGTGGTGACTGCAGCATTGGCTGCTGCTTGTCTAGCCGGCTGCGTGCGGTTCACAGCTGGGTCACCAACATGCACTGGCGAAAACAAGCGTGGCAACAAGATGGCAGGCCTCCCACAGCTCCACCACGATCATAATCCTGCAGGCGCCTTGGCGATCGAGCTCACACGGGGGCCGCAGGCCGCCTTGTGGCCTGCGGAGCGCGTGATCCAGCAGACGCCCCTGGCTGCTGCCCTGGGCGCTGTTTGACAAGTTCGCTGGCAGACTGCGCGCCGCTCGGCGCGGCGTGCCCGCCCAGAAGCAGGTCAGCACTGCTTCGCACAGCAAAAACCCAAGGCCGACACGACGAACGCGACCGATGCCTTTGAGGTCAGCGCCAACTACCGTCGCAGGACTCGCGCATCCACATCGATGGTTGCCCGTGCTTCTGCGCACTGGAATCCTGCGCTCACACTGCGAATTGCCAGGGGGCGTGCATCCCGCGTTCGGCGGACGAGCTACCCCAGGGTTGCAGAACATCCTGAAGCACCAGGTGTTCGGGGAGTAGGAAATATATCCAATGAGGACGTGGAGAGAAGAGCGAATGTGTCCCCACATCGCACTTTGGGAAAAAACCGTGGAGCGGTGCTAGAGCTGATTTACAACAGATCCGCCACCAACTGGAATTGCGGAATTGGCAATCCTGGGTGAAACAATGATGAGTCTTTTCCTTCGCCGTGAAGAGCGATGATCCGATCGCGAACTTGAGCCGCTATTGCGGCGGGCGCTCGCGGGATGCGATCCGGGTGAGGAGGAGGAGGAGGAGGAGGAGGAGGAGGAGGAGGAGGAGGAGGAGGAGGAGGAGGGGGGAGGAGGAGGAGGAGGGGAGGAGGAGGAGGAGGAGGAGAAGGAGGAAGAGGAGGACGCACAGGAGGAGGAGGAGGAGGAAGAGGAGGACGCAGGAGGAGGAGGAGGAGGAGGAAGAGGAGGACGCACAGGAGGAGGAGGAGGAGGAGGAGGAAGAGGAGGACGCACAGGAGGAGGAGGAGGAGGAGGAGGAGGACGCATAGGAGGGCGAGGCGCAGGCGGCGCGCCCTCTGGAGCATGTCGAACGTGGGGAGCGGGAACCCCTTCGCCCCCAGGTCGAGGCCTCGGCTGCAGCAGTCCAGCCGGCTGCCCTCGTCGTCGTCATCGCGGTCGTCGTCGCAGCAGCAGCGGCAGCAGCGGCGGCAGCAACAACGACAAAGCCGTGGTCATCGTAGCGGTCGTCGCCGTGCGTTGCCTCCCTCCTCGGCGGGGGGGGGGAACGGGTGCGCCGAGGCTGCCACGGGCTGGAAGAAGAGGGAGGGGGGGATGTACACAATTTCCACAAAGCATGCAACGAGAGAAATTACCGCTCAGCGACCGAATCGGATGCTCCCTCCTACACCTACTCCTTCTCCACCTCCGCCTCCATTCCTTATCCTTATGAATACCTTCTCGCTGTCGCACCCCGAGACCAATTTTTAGGGCGAGCCCGGAATTTCGCCTGAGACTTCCTCACCACTAATGACTCTGAAACTTAAAAACGACAACAATTTCACGAATGGAGGCCGGGTGGTTTCAAAAATGTGGCTCTCGCCTTAGCGCCGCGCACATTCGTCTTGAAAATTTGCAGGAGCTTCACAGATCGAGGGCGAGTGGTTTTCAGAATGTGGCTCTCGCTGTAGCGCCCCGCATATTAATTCAAACAATTGCAAGAGCTTCACGGATTGAGGGCGGGTCGTTTTCAAAAAAGTGGCTCTCGCCTTAGCGCCGCGCACATTGGTTGAAAAATGTGCAAGGGCTTCACGGATTGAGGGCGAGTCGTTTTCAAAATGTGGCTCTCGCCTTAGCGCCGCGCACATTCGGTTAAAAATCTGAAAGGATTTCACGGATTCCCATGATCAACGTAACCGAAATTGTGCTTGGGAAAAAACTTGGATTGTGCGGGTGCAAAAATTATGTTGGTCCGCAGCGTTGACATCCAAAAAATGACGTTATGGCACGATTCCGGATCGTTAAGACGATGCACTGCAGTCAGGTTGATCCGTGACGTTGAAATCCGGCATGCTTCAGGGTCTTCAAACGGTTGTCTTCCGACGAGGCAGGTTCTTCAATGGAAATGAACCGTTGTAGGGGCCTATGAGGAGGGAGCTTGGAGGGACGGTGAATTCCAACATCGTTGATGACTCTTGTGTTTAAACTGGTCCTCATCCTCCTCCTCCTCCTCCTCCTCCTCCTCCTCCTCCTCCCCCTGCTCCTCCTCCTCCTCCTCCGCCTCCGCCTCCTCCTCCTCCTCCTTTCACTGCCCCTCCCCTTTGCTCGCTAACGGGAGCTGCACACGGAATCGCCTAAGCTGGCCATAACGATCCCCAGCTCGGCAAAGGCCCCCCCCTCCTCCTCATCATCAGGCGGAGACGATCCCAAAACTGCCAGCCGATGCGGTCCAGGCCGCTGAAGAGGAGCAGAGGGCAGCTGCCGGGGAACCCTTGGCCCGCGGGGAACCTGCAAGCGCGTGCGCTACGGCCGCCAGGGCCGCAGCCGCCAGCAACAGACAACAAATGCATAATGTTGTGCGTTCGCCTCGCCTCAGCGTCCTTGCGCCGCATCGGAGAGCTGTGCCGCGACCGTGGCATAGCAGCGAGCCTTTCGAGTGCATCTCGCTGCCAGGGTCTACAGCGCGCTCGGTCAGACAGTCATCCACATCGGCATAATCAATAATCCAAGTTACCCTCCTTCTCGTCTCCTCCTCCTCCTCATCATCATCAGCATCATCATCATCACCATCATCATCATCAGCATCATCAGCATCAACACCACCATCATTATCATCATCAGAAGGATCATCATCATCATCACCATCATCATCATCATCATCAGCATCATCATCACCATCATCAGCAGCAGCATCATCAGCATCAGCATCATCATCAGCAGCATCGTCATCACCATCAACATCATCAGCAGCATCATCATCACCATCGCCATAATCAGTATCAGCATCATCATCAGCAGCATCATCAGCATCATCATCATGATCGTCGTCGTCACCGCCATCGTCATCATCGACGTCATCAAGTCGTCACCATCAACTTCCCTCATAACCCTTATCACACTAGCCCCTCCCCCGTACATCGCAACCACTCATCAATGATCCCTCTTCCCTCCCTCATCCGAAGGCGGAGCCAGTTTAACAAGTGTCTCAAACAACCGAAGCGCGATGCGAAGATTACTAAACTCAGAATCGTGCGAAGAGTCTGAAAAGTGGAAAATATAAAAGCGCGGAAGACAATGCCAATGTTCAAAAAAACTTGAAAACACAGGCAGACAGGAAGGCTGGAACTACAAAAAGATGCAGAGAGTAAGACCACGAGCAAAGACTAAAGGTAAAACAGCAACAAACTTGCGAACAAACCAATAACTGCATGAATTGGCAACACCACGAAAGATGTAGATGCGCGAAAAATCCGAAACGTGAAATAGAAACAGGCGAGGCGTGAGAAGAATGCACAATAAGTGAAATAACACATCGCTAACATTAGAAGGCGCTACACACACTTCACATGGAAAAAGCAGACAAGCAGGAAATAGTGGAATGCGCATCGTGGCGCGCTTTGTGGCGAAATACATTCGGAACGTATACCAAAACACAGAGTGCCAAAGTAACGTAACCACCATATACGTATACAAACCAACGATACAAGAGAACCTGGAAGCGCATATGAAGAGCATACAACTGCAAGTTGCAAAGGGATGTAAACGTACTGTGCAACGTTATGGACGTGCGCGCAGCCGCGAATATGCATTAACAGTATCAGTGTGTATATACAAACATGCATATGAACACACCTGGATAGATGTGTGTATGCCCCCACAGGTAACATGCATGTTGCGTGTGATGCCTGCCGCTCGTCTTATTATATGTATTTGGACTCGTCTTAGCATTCGTGCGTCTATCTTCGCATGTGGTTTTGTATTCCTTTTGTTCGAAAGATGTATCATTATGTCTCTCTATCTCGACCCTTCTCTCCGTTCCCTCTGATCCTGGCGGGTTGCAAATCTGCTTTCCTACGTCTCCATCCACCCCGAACCCCCTCACACGAGGCACGAGTAGCCAGAGAAATAAACATACAAGCATTCAGAAAACTTCCGTCCTGCGGAGGAAACGATACGGAAGACAAACTGATCATCCGAAGGCGACGCGAGGAACAAGATGAAACAGTGCCCCCTCTTTGGGGCGCATTGGGGCACCTCCTGGGGCCACGCGAAAGCGAAAGTTTGAATACACGAGGAAGTATCAGTCGAGAGCCAAGAGAAGCTGAGGTGGACAAGGACGATGGGCGAGGCTGGCACGTATTCGCGTTGATATAGCTTGGTTTAATGTCATGGGAAAGCGAGTGGGAGCGTAACCCGCTACTTCACTGCACGCGTGCACGAGCACGGTTGATGCGCGTTTTTGTATATCGATAATGAGTAGAACGAGATATAATAGAATATACTGTAAAACGATTGACTATGATACAATGTAGTGAATCATACAATGTACTATACCAGAATACAATGCAAGATCTTACTACCGAATCAGACTATACTGCACTATGAAAAGTATGATAAAGCAAAATAATGTATGACTCCATATCATATTATAGAATAGATCAGAAGAACATGTAAACTACTATAACATACATAACGTCGTAGTATACACTATGATGGAAAACAAATGATAAAATACGGCATAGAATGTAGTGTGAATTAGTACAAATAACAAAGAAAATGATAAGATATGATATGATATAAAGTGTTTTGATGTGATGTGTTATGAAATCATATGGTTTGATCTGGTCAATAATATATAACAGAATATGATATAGTAGAATAACGTATACTTTAAGATCATGCAGTATGAGTGTAATCCAAAACACCAAAAGAAGACATAACATTGACATAAACTGTTTTTAAAACTAAACGTGTTCCTGTGTCTCGCCCTGGCTTCACAGAAAATTGTTTTCTGCAAGCTTGGACATCTGGGCCGCGGGCGCGGCGGTGCACCCAAGGCGGCTCGGGCGCCCGCCACTGCCGGAAAATCGGCGGCCGGGCGCCAGGCCCAGAAGGGCCATGACCTCCAGGCGACGGCGGCGAAGGGCGCTTCAGGAGTAGCCTCCAAGCCCGCACTCTTGCTGGGACCGGCGTCCGCGGGCCGCGCTGACCGAACGGCCCATTCCCTGGCCCGCTGGACGGAGAAGCCCCACGGGCCGCGCGGGCATCCACGCGGGCGCCGGGAGCCGCCGGCGCAGCGGGCTCACCAGCGCCGCTCGCAGAGACAGCCACCCACGCGCCCGCGGGGGGGAGCGGTCGCCCGACCCCGGGAGGCGGGGGCCCAAGGCTGCGAGCGAGCCAACAGCAGCGCGACGAATCGCCCCCACGAACCAGCGGGGCAAGGCGCGCGGGAATCTGCAACAGCCACACGATCAAATCTGGAGGACGTTTCGACCTCAGCATCAGCCAGCCACGCGGGGCAAGTGCGGGAAGGCGGGCGGACCGCACGACGGTCTGCGCACGTCGGCAACCACATATAAACGTACCCAGGGTAGAGACCCCCCCGGACAATGTAAAGCAACGTCGTGCTGAGGACACGGGACAGCCATGGAGAACTGCTTCGGACGTGCGCGGTGGCGCCTAGGGCCACATTGGAATCTAAAAGCACGGGGGTCCTCACATCGGGAATCCCGACACAACAGACTTTTCTAAACGGCCGTTTCCAGAATGTCAGGGCGGCGAGGTGCGTGGAACTCACATTTTTGAGCCAGGCGGAAGCGCAGCGCCCGCGACAGCTCCGAAGCCCAGCGCGGGGCAACTGGAGGCCCCAGAGAAGGGGGCCTTCGGGGCCCCACAGGGACACCACGGCTCACACGGCTCAGCACTGCGAGAAAGCGGCGCTCGTGCCAACACCGCGCGCCACTCGCCACGCTCCGCTCTGCGCCACGGCTCGACAGAAACACGAGACTCCTCCCCAGACGAGGGAAGCGTCCGCACCGAACACTTCGGGTGGCGCACTCCGCCCGAAGGCCTGTCGTAGCCGCACGGGCCAGGCACGTGCGTGCAAGCAGCTCAGCCCGCGCGCTCATGGGC